AATATTGGCCCAAATTCAAAATACTCTGCACATTTATGAAAATTAAATCTGGATACCCATTGATATTGAATACAAAACTGTAACAAAAAATCAGGCTGCTTGTAAAATCTAGCGTTTCCTGAGAGGAGCCGTCTTATGCAGCGATTCTATGACTTGGTTTAAGTTCATCATAGCCATAAAATAGGCTGTTTTATTTATTGTGAGCATGTATGGCATTCTGCGACGCCTAATTGGTAATAGCTATGGGAAGTTCAGCCAAGTTTTTGTGCGGTTAACGCCACTCGCTCCGTTATGACACTCGAGAATATCTTATGGAGCCGGATTTTTGTATTGAAGGCATGCTTTTATGTGGCTATTAATTCAAAAAAACATTTCAAGACTTCTTATAACAGAGACGCTTATAAGCAATATAGGTACAAAAAGACCTTTGATTCGGGCTTCAACTGTAAATTAACGTTTGATAGGCAAAAGAACACACGCAGATAAAACAGTTGAACGCAGAATAAGTAAACTAACGTAGTCGCAACGATGTTACCAACACATTCGAAATTGGCCAAATAAGAATTCAAAATATGGCTGTTGGGCATACGAGAAATCAATGATTAAACGGACATTGGCCAAGCTCAAATTTGTACAAAATGCCAATCGCTAATAATATGAGTGTTTAGATCGCAAGGAGCTTCTTGGTATAACCATTCAAGATGCCTAACCCTACAAAAGGGATGCTTTCAATTATCCAAAAATACTTTTCAGAAAAAGACTTTTTTGAATCCAGAGGATCTGAGCTATGCAGAAAAGAAAAGAAAAGAAACAGCCCCGGGCCGCAAATTTCCACTTGATTGGAAGAGAGATTCCAGATGTTAGAGCAAGCGCTATCCCAAAACTCAAAATGCTTATCGCGCTCTCGATATTCTTTGCTCTAGAGCTTTGTCTAGCATTCGCAGGCTTCTTAAATTCAGAGCCGAAATATGCGTGCTATTTGGAGACCTTTTTTCGCACCCTGAAAATGCTTTGAATGGACCAACATAAGAAGCAGAAGCCAAGTTGCTTTTGATTTTAGATTTTTTTGGGTAAATCTGCATTGCTGCCAGTAGCATTTCTCGTAGCGTTCTAAAGATGCGAAGCGCAATGTAATTTTGATTCCCCATCCTTTTTGAGAGTAATTTTTGGCTTATCATCCCCATGATTTCTATATGGCATCTATAGAACATAGGCAGCTGAACAAAACACACGCCTATACCTCGTAAATGCAGCCACAACGTATCTTTGGAACTCCAGCCCTGATAGGCTTTAGTAGGGTTCTAACATTGGCACTACCTCTCGCTTTAAAAAGATCTAAGACACACTTGAAAATGATCATATGGCGCCAAATGCATGGTTTTGGTGACCGATTCATTTCTAATAAAATCCATGCTGGATGTTCTAAACTCAAGTGAATCATTCTGGCCACATGCATAAAGTATTATCTAAAGATTCCAAAGATCGAATTTATTCCTCAACGGGGTCCTCAAATACTTGTATTCAAGCTTGTGTTATTTGGAGTTTTAGATTCAGGTAAGCATCCGGTAAAAAGTAGCAAACGGCCACATATTTGACGATGTCTTCGATGAATTTGAAGGTCTATTTTTCTATGTTTTTTGCATCCCGTTAAGATTGTGGTAATATTCCAATATTCTCTAAAGCTAAACTCTTAACAACGCAGTAGCAGCTCGAATTGATTACGAGAATGTAATTTTTCAAGTAAATTAAATTAATGGCCACTTTTGACATAAAAGTGTTGCGTTTTTAATGAAACCAGCAAATTAATTAGCATCACCCATCAATTTGTAGATTTACCTGAAAGGTGTTTTTTCAATATCCACACGTGCTTAATACAGAATCCACAAACTATAAATCGTTCAAACCTCGACGACGAGAGAAAGTAGCGTAAATTCAAGTCTACGAATGATGGGCAAATAGGGACGGAAAGTGTTTAATGACGACTTTATAGATACGCTGTGATTGTGATGCTAGCGGAGAGATGTCGCGATAAGAAGAATAAATAGTGCAAACACAGCAGTTGATTTTAAGAGAAAGCGCACGTTTGACCTTTTGATCATCGCAAGCATCTTGACCATTTGAACTACAGCCTCGTTTATTTGCGATTTTTGACACAATCAAATAGAAAATGCAAGTTAAACTGATCCATATGGAAAGCAAAGAGCCTTTTAGGATCATTTGCACTTATTTAGAGCATACATAGCTTGCCACCATAAATCCTAGCTTTTAGGGCAACTTTTTTCAAATTTTACTTGGTGCTATTTTTAAACTGCGATTTTTATCCCTAAATAGCCTCTCAATGGCGATCAGCTTTTCAATTTCCCTGCAAAATAGACCCATTATTTTAAGACTAGCTTGTGAGCTGCGATAAAACTAAAAATAAACTACCCAAGTTTCTTTGAGCTACCTAGAAGATCTGACAGACCAACGGCACTACCACAGTATGACAGATAGTGAAACATGTCTTACAAATAAAATTCTTTCAGACCATGCATGTTTATAATTACAGGCGAGAAGAAGCAGTTGATGCACAGAAAAGCTATCTGGAGTTCAAAGAAAGCCATTTTTGAGATGCATCATAAATGCCACGGGGTATGGTTTTCATAAAACTTCCAACTGGTCTGGTCTGATTACCAAACCAAAGCAGGAATCCCAAAGTAATTACATGCTGCTAATTCGTCAAATTTATTTAGGGTTAGTTAGACATTACATTTATCAGACTAAACCGGATCCACGCTGTGATTAGCTGACTCCCGATGGCTATAGCCCTGTGTAAATCTTAAATCACAGAATATTCTAGCTATTTGTACCTTTTGCCGTGGTAGGTGGTATTCTTGGTTTTCAGGTGTGTGCTTAATGAACTAATTGGAATTCACACACCGGTATCCCGGTTGTTAGAATTTGATTAAAAAGGCACGTGCCCCTTAAACCCAAGTGATGAGTTTTTATTTTAAGCTCCGAATGATCTTCCTCAATGATATTTTGTTTCTGCTATTTGTATTTTTATATAAGATTTTTTTGGCTAAAGCTCCAATTGAGTTTTCTTCTAAAGTTCTGCCAAAAATAAAAGGTCAAACTGATAAAGTGGAGCTGATGTATGTGATACAAGGAGCTATTACTGAAGTAAGCCGCCCCGAACACAGTATGATATATTTAGCATTTCAGAATAAACGTGGGCAATCTATTGACCAAGAAAGCCAACACGAATCAAAACGGATCATAATGGCAAAAGCTGATGAAGAAAAGCTAATTTGTGCAACAACAGAATATTTTGTGATTAAAGAAATTCTGGAAAATGTCAAGATACCTTTTATTGAAAGAGAATTTTCAATTCAAAAGAAACTTGCACACAAAAACGTGGTCCTTGTTTACCACCGGAATATGAATCAGATATTTATGGAATATGTAAACGGGTGCGATTTATTAGATGTCCCTCAATATTGGAACAAAAATGTCAAGATATTCGCTTATATTTTCAAAGAAGTTGCACAAGGTGTTAAATTTATCCATCAAAATGGTTTTGTGCATGGGGACTTGAAGCTTGAAAATATATTGGTATCAAGGGATGGATATATTAAAATCACCGATTTTGGTGCTGCTGTGGAGACCAAAAGAGTTAGCGTAAAAGATGCTGGAAGAACAAAAGGAATTGGTGCATATGAAACTCCATATTCAAATGAAGAGTTCATGTTTACTTTTACGTTGCCATATGTTGCGCCAGAGTTTATTGACCCAGAATCTGTCGCTCCAAAAGACGTAAAGGACACACTTATCAACAAAATAGGGGTTACATCAAAATGGATTGCGTTAAGCCCCGGAGAGCTGAAGTTTAATCTCAAATCTAACGTCTTTCCCACCAAACAATCTGATGTCTTTTCCTTTGCAGCTACCGTTGTTGGCTTTTTTAGCGCTAAAAATGGAGCCAGGTACGACCGTAACTACTTCTCTTTTCAAGAAGAGGGAAAAAAGGAAAACTATAGCGATATCTTCAATTTGATAGAAACCTTTAATGTCGAGTTGGCTAAAATTATTCACCAGGCTCTTGATCCATCTATTGACAAAAGACCCACTATTCAACAGGTTCTCGAATGTCTCGAAAAGTTACCCTGTTCCACTGAAGCTGAATTTAAGGATTTTGCTGCAGATGTTCAGCTGCCTCACATCACTACTTATACAAAAAAAAGGTCTGCAAATAATCGAGAAGAAAAACATATTCCGCAAAAAATTCAGCGAAAGCAGCTTACGAGAAAAGACTAAAAGACGATCCCTAAATAAAATTATCCCAGCACGTGTTTGAGATGAGAATTGGCTTGAAATACCAAATTCTCGCTTTGGGGATATACCTAAAATTAAGCGGTTAATCTGGAACTGAATTAGCGGTTTAGAAAGATTGCTAGCAAATAAATCCAATTGTTCTGGTAGATCAGCCGCTGCATAAATTTAGCACCAAAGCACTCTTTGATATTCAACCAACTAAAATTTTTGGCCATCATACTCGATTAGCAATTGACCAGTGTCGCGTTGGAGCCTAGTCTAGTACAGGCGATGCCTGACTTTAACCATGTATTTAAAGAAGAAACCCCAAGTCAAACGATAACCTGACCCTAAATGTATGCGCTTTCACCGTAAACTTTTTGTCTATCATGGAAGGACTGTCTTCTTCGAGGTTACCAGCTTTTCGATCAAAGTATCTAGAGCATCGCAAAAATCATAGGCCATGAAAATAGAAGCGCAAAGCCAAAGAACCCCTGTTCTAGATGGCTGCCCTAATGAAAAACGTATCTGCCAACTCGAAGCCGATTTCAAGCGTTTTCTCATCCCAGCTATTGTCTTTAATTAAGAGAACCATGTATATGTTCTTTTTGGGCTCGGAAAATAATCCACAAAAGTTCATCAATAGAGTTTGGATCTTTCATGTTCAAAATCAGCCTGTGAATGTTGAGATTCAAAATGGCTCCTTCGAAAAGCGCGATATTCGCTTTCATTCCGCATATTTGTCTCTTTCGCCTGCGATTTGTTTTTCGTCCATTTGATTTCGCCACATATTTTTCCAAGCCCAAAAAG